ATTCCTGGAGATACTGGCATGGTGGCAACCCTGAGAATGTTTTGCTGAAACAAGACTGATCAAAACCATCTGAAGACCTGTGTCTTTACAACAACTGAGACAGAACGTCTGGGCCTTCCCTTCGTAAAAACTGAAATGTTGCTGTATCATAGGACAGCAAATGAGACTTTGCCCCTGTGTTTTTTGTATGAAACACAGCCCCCTATAGTCGTATTAGGAAGCCTTCTCAGTTACACACATAAACTGTTCCCATCTTCTGCTACTTCCAAATCTTCCTCACCTTCTCAGGGACCAAGCATGGTCCAGATAGTTCTGGGGGGAAAATCATGAAGGGAGATAGAGCATAATGAAGAGCAAAAAGGGGAATGAAGAAATTTATGCAGAAAGGGGGTGGCTCTATACCACTACTTTTCACTACAAGCTACTAGTCATGACCACAGTAATGGCTGCCAACACAGCTTCAACCCACCTGTAGCATCAGAAAACACATTTTATTTATTTTTCATCCTTCCTTTTGTCCAAAGGGAACTTAAGTACAAATCACTAGGATATCACACTAACCAAAATGCTGATTTGTCATTTCTTTTTTTTTGCCCCCTGCTGTCATTCTACGATTTCCTATTTCGTGTAACACAGAACACAAGGAATTAAAGAATACAGAGCCAGCCTTGCCTTGGGCACCAAGGACCAAGCTTTAGATTCCTTTGTGCCTAGTGTGCTCATTTACAGAACTGATGCTAATAAGAGATGAAAGCTGCTGTTCTGAGTCAGTAACTGCATAAACACATTGGAACAAATACAAATCAGTATCAAGCTGTGTGCCAGCCCGTTATGAATATTTCAACATTCTTTCCACAAAGAAAGTAAGAATTTATCCTAAACATACACACAAATGGATGTAAAGGGGGAACACCATTCACAGTGCTACAAAGAACATCCACTTCGTACCACTCCCATGAGCTCACAAACTCAGTTTCTCGCTTGCTGCATCCCATGGCTTCAGATCACATCACTAAACAGCGAGAAATTGTAAAACATAGCAAAGGACCATGGTTTTCACTGATAGCATGAGTTTACAAAGTAACTAAATCCCATTCACTCCAGAACCGGAGCCACTAAATCCCACACGCAGTCGAAAACAGCATCACCCGGCACACCCAGAGGAACTCCACGTAGCAGACAGACATCAGTGCAGCATCCCAAAGCACAAACAAATCACTGAGCTGCTTGGCCAGCAAACACGTACGGCAAATTCCCATCCCTCAAAGACAAGTAGGAATCTGGATGCAACTCAAACCCTCTTTTTAGAGACGAAATGTACTTTTCTTCTGAGAGGGCACCTCAGCCAACACTGGAGTCCGACCTTACCGATGCATCGGGTTCCCTCCTCATTGGAGTGGTAGCCTCTGCTGCACGTCAGCGTGTTCCTTTGGCAGGTGTAAGACCCAACGGTATTGATGCAGCTGAATCCTGGTTTACACGGCTCAGGGAGAGATGTGCATTCATTAACATCTGGTGAAGAAAATGAATTAGGGTAGTGTGAGAAGCTACTTAACCTTTCTGATCTGTTTTCTTCCAGCTGTCACTTCTTTTCCTTCCTTTCAATTTATTGTGTCACAAAGACAAAGCTGATGAAGGTCTGCCGTGGTAAAACTTCCAAATTCAATAAGCAAGTATGCATATTTTTAAAAGGACAGCAATGTTTAAATTAAATTCACAGCAGGATTTGAGGAAAACTACATGTGATCAATATACAGCCTTTGGACCAGCCAAAAGGAACAGGAGCTGGCCAGTGCTGCTACACATATTACAGACATATTGCTGGTCACACTTACCAACACAGTTTCCCTCAGGGTCTTGTAAAAATCCATCCATGCAGCGCTGCTTTGACTCACAGTAGAACGATCCTTCTGTATTCTGACAAACGAAGTTTACTTTACAACTATGAGTTCCTTGCTCACATTCATCAATATCTGTTAATCAGACCAAAACACCATATTGTGACTAGTTAAGCTGTTATTTTCACTAGTCTTCATGACTATTTAGCTTCTCAGAAACGAAACGTTATTTAAACCAGGCACCCAGCACTGCCTGTGGGAAACCTGAGATTTAGGTGTGTTTGCTCTTGGACATCCACTTCACCATAGGCTTCAGAATTTGTCAGGTCCTGCAGCAAATTTGATTTTGGTCCCTGCTGCCCTGCTCACAGCATCTCATGTAAACCACAAATATTGAAATATCTGCAGTTTTAAAATCCTAAAGACTCTAATTAAAACTAGGAACAAAGTACACATAATAAAATGTATACCACACTCCTTCAAAAGCAACATAGTCTCTTATTCCTCGTAGACCTCAAGAATTCTAAGCAGAAACCTTCCTCTTCTGAATTTTATACTAATATGGCACCTCATTTGAACAGGGTTGGGATTTCACTGAGTACACAGAAACATATGTGTGTGTGTATATATATGTCTATGTACTCAGGCACACAGAACAAACACTTATCCAACTCTGAAAAAAAAATTTGAGCAAGAGGTAATAATATTAGTCACCAATTTTGCTTTTTCTTCTTATTCTGCAGCCAGAGCTCAATGCAGCTTTCTCATTTTCTGTATGTGCATGAAATTATTTCTCACATTATGTTCACCAACTTCATTTTTACTTTCCAGGCACATTGAAAACACCTCCTGCAAGTTTCAAAAGTTACAAATTTGCACACAACTGATCTGTGCTGAGCGACTGTGAGGATCAGCTATAGTGGCATTGCTTCCATTTTCCAGTTGAAGAATTCCCACTCAGGAACAGACTTCAGCTAGAAATACACACAAAATTCAGTTCCTGTGAACATTCTCAAATGCTGCTTTAAAATACACTGGTTCCTGAGAATAATTCCTATGATTAACATCTTTACAAACAGTTGATGAATCCCTGCTCCTCCAGGGAGACAAAGGGAGAACTGCTGGTACTTCTATGTCTATTCTAACTCCTCAGTTAAATGTTAAGGTCCCAAAGGAACACCATCAGTCTCCCAGAATGTACTATACTAATATGTTTTCCTACTGTAATTATAGACTGAGACAAGGAAATATGTGGAATTATTTCATAAACCTCTGCAAATTCAGTAGTTACCTGTAGGCAATTTTACACAGAGTAGTTCTGAAATTTTCTTGTTACTCATTAATTTAAAGACTATTATTTTAAAACAATTTGTAAACTCTACAACCTGTTATAAACTGCATAACTTTAAGACTAGAATGCAATTTGGATACCAATAAATGTTAGAAATGCTAAAGAATCAGACAAAAGAACAAGACTTTCACAGTCACTTCAAGTAACCCAAAGTTTACTTATGACAGCTGTATACAAAGTGAGGTTTCTGATCATTTCTATCTATAACCTTATGTTACATGTTCAAGACCCAAGTTCTTTCTGTAGGCATCTCTTACTCCAGCTGTCAGGAGACTCTTTGTGTACAAAGATTTAGGAGTAAATACCACCAACTCTTGCCCTGGAAGGCAGGGGACGTGTCTTTTGCATACTCCTGTGCTGCAGAGCAAGTTCTGTTGTGCTATGACTACCGAAGTTAGCTTCGCCTTCAGACCTCTGTATAGACCAAGAAGGGAGAGATGAAGAATAACTTCTCAACCCCATGACTGTTCCAAATGTAAATAAATGCAGCCAGATTGCCTAAACACAGGAAGGACCTGACCGAGTCAACCCCATGACACATTCAGGCTGTGATTCAAGTGTTCAAGAGCAAATGCTCAAGAGGAGGATCAGCCCCTTAAGAGAAAAGCAGAGCTGGGCAGATGAGCGTGACAGGAATTCCTCCATCAGCCAGATCTCTCTTTAACACCTTAAAACCAGGGTAAATCCTAATTAACAGGGTTTCATCCACTTTCCAAACAATTTTTAGTTAATGCTGGAAACTACCTCAAATAAGTGAGTGTACAAAGGGGCCTATGAAGCAAACATTTCCATGATGATCAGCCTTTTTTAGTCACAATCCTGATACTACAGACCAGCAAGAATAAAATGCTTTGCAATCCTTTTTCGTCTCCTTTTCGGTAACAGAGATTGCGTCAGCTGAAAAATACTTGTCTTACCAACACATTCTCCATCCTTAAGTTCATAACCTGGCTGACAGCTCAGTTCCTGGAGACATTTGAATGATCCCACCGTGTTGACGCAGTGCTCTCTACGCTGGCAAGTGTGCATATCTGTTACACACTCATTTATGTCTGCAAGAAACAGTTAAACAATTCAGTGCCACGTATTTACAAAGTGATCTACCTCTTCCTCCTCTTTGGAAGGAGTCAAAAACTTAAGTGAAACCATTTCTTCCAAAATACACTCAATACAGACTTTGGTACAGTGTTCTGATTAAAGATTTTTTTATTTTATTTTATTTTATTTTATTTTTTTAAATTCTGGGATCTTTTGTTAACACAGAGTAACTCAAGAGACACAAATCACAGGGAGATTTCCTTCTCCTTCTCTCTTGCCAAATATCCATTAGATGGTGGAGGCATTGAAGACAAAGAATGGACAGAACTGATTAAATGCAAGATGGGCAGAGGATTGATAATGAGCTTCTGACTTATTGGATAGAAACCTCCTGGACAACTGAATGAGAAATGATTAATGTTTACTGCTCATGATTAGATTTTCATAGCTCAGGCTGTATATCAGTCTTACTGCTTCATGCCAAAAAGACAGGAGCTGCTGGTGTGGAACTGCTGCAAGAGACAGGTACTGAAATGCCCTGTCTCACTGCAGGTGGAGCCACGGAATGTACTGATTTCCTCAGGAATCCATCGTCAGAACTGGGTACACAAGAAAATACTGAGAGGCATCCTGAAGGCTCAATCAAGTTTGTAAATTTGTACTGAAGTGTTAAAGAGATCTGATTTCAGCAGGTGGAGTAGTAGAAAAGTTCTTTAAAAAAATCACTGAAATACAAGATTGCAGAATGAAAGGACAATTTGTAAAGGAATATGCCACACCTTTATAATTATACATTTTGATAGATTTGGAGGAAATAATCTCAAATTCAGGTTTTGCTTATTTAAATAGAGCTAGGAATACCACGATGAGTAAATACAAGCAACACAAAGCAGTAGAGATGGGAAGAGAAACTTTCATGCCATTCTCCACAAAATCTTGCACTTTCACAGTTCTGTAAAAAGCCAAGGAGTACTGCTAGTGCTAACAAAAGCCACATGGGACCTTAACTATTACCAATCATCCAGCCCCCCTGCACATAAAGCTGTTTTCATAGTACATAGTAAAGCAAGTATTGTTTAAATCAGATTTTCATTTTGGCTGTAGAACCTCATTCCCAGATAAGTATGACATCAGATATATTACTTCCCCTTGTAGAGCATGGAAACAGGAAAAGTCATTTTAAAAGCCCTTTGTCTTAGAAAATGTGTCAGCTTTTTTTCTACCCAACAGATGAAGATGAGCACCAAGAAGTTTCAGTTCCTGATGAAGTCAGCTAACTGGTGATGTGAACTGAGCATTGCAAGGCCAGTATGTCAGCTTGTTGACATTTCACTTTTCCTTTATTTGTGTTGCCTTTCTGTTTGCTGTTGCTATTCTCCGTAAGTTGCGTGCTTGCTTTCCAAAGCCAGCTGATTAATCCACACTGAGGTCACCACCATCAGCTGGATATCCTTCTGCCTGTCCCACTCGATGTCTGTGCACTTCCACTGAGTGGTGGGTTTGTTGATGACACGAAGCTGTGGGGTGTGGTGGACTCCCCTGAGGGAAGGGAGGCCATCCAGAGGGACCTTGACAGGCTGGAAAAATGGGGCAATGCAAACTGCATGAGGTTCAACAAGTCCAAGTGCAAGATTTTGCACCTGGGCCAGGCCAGTCCCAGGCACAAACACAAACTGGGTACAGAGCTGGTTGGGAGTAGCCCTGAAGAGGAGGACTTGGGGGTGTTGATGGACGAGAAGCTCAACATGAGCCGGCAGTGCGCTCATGCAGCCTGGAAGGCCAACTGCATCCTGGGATCCATCAAGAGGACTGTGGCCAGCAGATCAAGAGATGATGCTCCCCCTTTACTCTGCTCTTCTGAGACCCCACCTCAAATACTGCATCCAGTTCTGGTGTCCCCACCATAAAAGGGACATAAATCTGTTGGAACAAGGCCAGAGGAGGCCACAAAGATGGGACAGGGGCTGGAGCTGCTCTGCTACGAGGACAGGCTGAGGGCACCAAGATTGTTCAGCCTAGAGCAGAGAATACTCTGGGGGAACCTTAGAACTGCCTTCCAATACCTGAAGGGAACCTACAGAAAGGCTGGAGAAGGACTTGTCACAAGAGTGTCCAGTGACAGGACAAGGAGAAATTGTTTTAAACTGGAGGAGAGTAAGTTAAGACTAGATCTTAGGAAGAAGTTCCTCAGTACAAGGGTGGTGAGACTCTGGACTAGATTGCCCAGAGAGGCTGTGGATGCCCCTCCCTGGAGGGGTTCAAGGCCAGGCTTGATGAGGCCTTGAGCAACCTGATCTAGATGAGAGGTGGCCCTGCCCATGGCAGGAAGGTCAGATTGGATGATCTCTAGGGTCCCTTGCAACCTAAGCCGTTCTATGATTCTATGCATCGCCCATCCTGTAAGTTTTTCAGAGTTATGTCCTCCTAATGCATGTACAGTTTTCCAGTTTCTATATGTGAGCTTGAAGTGTAAGCAGCAATATTCTCATAAGTGGTCTTGAAAAAAAAAAAACAAACAACCCAACACCCCCCCAAAAAAAAAATACCCCACAAAGTAAACCAAACACACTCACATGCTGGGAGAAGAATATGTGCTGCTGTTGTAGACTCCTCCCACGTAACTAGACTTAGTTCTTAGATAAATTTGAGTTGTTTCATTTTAATTTTAGAGAAAAATGGCTATAGATAGCCACTTAGCATCCAAAACAGTGTAAGACTTCCTACTGATTTAAGAAGCTACATGACAGATCTGGGATTATCTTTTCTTGCAAACCACAAAAAGCAAATTGTTAGCACTACAGGAACTTAATTCAGTTCAACATTATGTCAAAAAGAGCTACTAGGAGGAAAGCACATTCGAAATACTATCCAAATAATGTAGGAACTACTCCACCTGATTAGCAGGTGTAAACAGGTAAAATGAAGGTTAAGATTTCACAGAAAAAAAAAAATCTAATATAATTCCATGTTTTGTCTCTGTTTTTTGACTCAATTTTCAAATTCCTGAGCACCTGAGAAACTAAGTAGAACTGGCCAGAACACACTCAAGGAAATTAAGATTACGAAAACTGGAAGATTACATACAGAATTTTTGCTTTCAGTGAGAGCTTCACACTTCAGTGTTTTCAATGTGGTAGGGTAAGATTATATTTAGAAAAAAAAAAAAAACAACAAACCAGGAATAAGAGGACAAATAATTCAGCAATGTATTGAAAACAAGTCAAACAGTTAATTTTTGAGAAATCTACCAGGTCTATGTGTGTGGCAACAAAGTTCCTCACTGTGTGTCAGTAAAACAAGAATGAAATGTTATTATATCTCTTTTCCCCCCCCGGAATCGTTGAAAACAGCAACATATACATGATCGCTGAGCATATCTGCTGCTTCTAAGAAGATAATATTTTTGCAAAAGAATATCAACACTTGCCTACTGCTATTTTTTTTCAATACATACTTCAGTGTTAAATTATTTTTTTTGCATGTTTTAGAAGAATGTGAACTGCAGACTTTTTTGTTCTACATATGTGTCGTGATTTTTCTCTTCCACAAATTACTTCAGCACAATTTGTTTTACGGAATAGATCAGTGTTATTTAGACCTGTCGTTATTTTGCAACCACCCATCCTGTGCTCACATGCAGTCCTTAGGGCTCAGCAATAAAATGACCACTTACTGCACACTCAGGCAGGTGGGAAAGTTATAGATGGGAGCAGTAAAAAAAGCATCAAAGTGGTCCCCTGTCAGTGTGCATGTGGGTGGTGGTAATGAGTTTGCCTGAAAGCCACCAGGAAAAGTAATCCACATTAAAAACCCTCAACCTGGCTCTTATCTCTGGAGACCATGGAGCTTTCAAGCCCAAAGACGTTTAAATATCTGTTCACAACGTTACACAAAGCTGCTGTGTGCAAACTATTTAAACAGCTGGTGACTTCATTGTGCACGGTTGGCTTTCAGGAATTCTGGTTATCTGCTCTTGAATGCACCTGGAATGATAATCTTCCACAGTTTGACTAAAGGAAATTCAACAGATAAAAGGTTATCAGCTGTTTTGTTGATGTGCAAAGATTGCTCCTCCCGGTCCCTAAAATATGCAGAGAGTAACATCACTAAAACAACAATAATTTGCAAACAAATTACCAAGGTTTTTCCCCCTGGTGTTTGAGATAGCTGGAGCTGGAGCACAAAAGCAGTTAAGCTGGAAAAGGATACCTTAGGCAATACGTGGCTGCAATGAGGTTGTTCAACAAGAGAAATCACAGTACACTTGTGGCTTTCCCCTTTGACTAGAAAAGTAGGAAAATGTTAAATACAGCAGATGTTCTCCAAGCACCACGCACAGAGCAGAGCTGTATATGAGTAGGGAGCACGCAGGATGTATCTACCCAGAAAGAAGGAGAAATGTCAAAGTTTTCTAGATTATATACAAAGAAACCTATAAAAACTTGACATTTATTAGAGAAATACAGAGGTTTGTTCTTTAGTGAGGAAGAAGAGGATCTTCTAGCTTTACAAATGAGAGTTGTATCCTTCATTTTATTAGTGAGGTCTGAAGTTTATCTTATAGCAGTCACAGTAAAATTCAGTTATAATGTCATGGGGGAGAGGTCAGAAGAGGAAGAAGTTAAATAAAAGGAAGCATTTGGTACCTTCTATAGCACCTTCTACCAAAGCTGCTGACAAACATGCATTAATTTAGTTGCAAAACACTCGTGGGAGACATAGAAAAAGACAGATATATCCCTACTGTATAGTCTAGGAAAAATATCCAGGGATGAAATAGCAAGACTTTTAGAAGTGGAAAGCAAGGTGAGGCAGTTCCTTCAGCTGCTCACTTACCAGAGCTCATATTCAGAAGTGTGGTAGGTGCAGCAGGCTCTGTGAAAGCCATGAAACAGACCATGCAGACCAGGGCCAACTAAGAATACCATCCTCTACCTCATAATCTGATATTTCCTTTGTAAAGGCATCCTTCCTTCCAGAGGTGTTAGCTTGGCCATTTAATTTAAACTAAATACTTTCACTAGTTTTCCATGCTTACCAGTGTCTCTGATTTCAAAACAAATAATAGCAAAATAAAAATAAAAATCTGATTTTGACAAATTAAGGAAAACCCAGAAGATAGGAAATCACATTTCTGCCCTAAGCAGTGATGCTGTATAAACTTGCTTGCTCATGCCCTCATGCCATATCATGCTCACAAACCTGATGAGACTGTAGGGCTTTAGAAGGTAGGAACAAACCCAAAACTGTGATGGTCAGAAAAACAACATCACAAATGCAGGGAGGAGGACAGGGGTGGAAGGAGGTGAATGCATTCACACATGACATGGTCACAGGCACTGCTGCTCTCATTAGTGACTATAGATCTCCAGATGCTCCATTTTTCCAGGCATTACCACACAACACTGCTGCAGCTCAGATGCCTCCTAAACCAGCCTCTAGAAAAGTACCCCAAATAGATATTACTTCATGAGCTCAGGCCTTGGCTTTTTGAAGCAAATTAAATCCTCACAAACGCACTTGTAAAAATAGATCAGTTTCTTATATGAATTTCAATAGCAGGGGTGATACAGCAGAATTATCATGCACCTTTTGACTTTCACACAAAGAAATTTGTGCCAGAATCAACAAAGGGCTAATCTGAATTTTAGAACTGCGTCACTTGGGAGTGGATCTTTTCTACTGCCCAGACTTATGCAGATCTCTTGAGCTGTCGTCACAAAGCTTTGTTGTTTCATGGTGTCTGGGGATTTGGCAGTATTGACACTGTCCAGAGAGCTCAGCTGCTATGTTTTCTTAGTCCAGCTTAATAGTCATTAGTATTGCTGCAGTCATCACACCTACGAACTTTTATGACTTTTGAGCAAAGTTACATGTATCCTGAGAATGTATTGCTAGGGAAAAAGCCAGACAGCATACAACTTATGATGTTAAGTAGCTGAGCAAATGGTGCACATGTGTTTTTACTAACTCATATTGAAATGACATATGCAAAGACAGCCAGAGAGCCTTTTAGTGCAAATGGTTTAAATGCATTGCAGAGCATGAAGAATTATGATGCTGTGGTGAATGGCTTATACCTATCACATTTTCTATGCCTGTTGAGTACAAAGCCCTCTGCACAGATCACTCTGTGGTTGACACAGTAGAATGATCCCAATGTGTTCACACATAATTGTCCTCTGGAACAAGCGTGAGCACCTGTGAGGCACTCATCCAAATCTATATCAACATGTTGCAACCAAAAGGGAAAAACAGAATTCTACTAGAACAATTTCTGAAATAAAACAACACTTCTTCCACACTGGAGATGTCTAAATGAAGTGTGCTGGAGCTACTACATCAGCACCATGCTATAATACGTACAGTGTTACACTGAAAACAAGGCTGGGATAAACCTTCAGGGATCCTCTAGTCCTTGCTCGAACCCCTGCACTTCTGTCATTCCAGAAAGAGCTAATTCTTAAAAACAGGCAGTCACACAAAGGCAACACACACGCCCTTTGCAGGAGACCTGTTCCAGTACATCACCACTCTCACCATGAAATACTTTAATATAGATTATAAATGTCCCTTGCTACAATTTAAACTCACTACTTCCACTGACATTTCTGATTTTTTTTTCCATCTCCTGTAGGAAAACAATTGCCTTGAAATGCCCCTTTTGATTCTGACACTAATTAATCAATTATCTGCCACTACACTTGAGTAAGCACTGCACAGTGAATATTCTATCCAGTAATATTAAATTCCCATTTTCTTCACAGACTATCTGGAATTTCATAAAAATGATTTGTTATGCAATAAGATCTGAGATTAGGAGGGATGTGGATCACTTGTGAGCAATTCTGAGCATCGGAAGCTTCTACTTGCATTTGAGTGCTGGCTGTTACTGCTCCCAGACTTAGAGATTTATAATCAAAGTTATGCCACAGGGCATTGCTTCTGACCCCCAAATCTTCCCTGGGCAAAGGTATCTTTTGTCATTATCCAAACATGTCCATTTAAACTTTATATAATGTGACCGATCACGATGCAGCTTTGGAATTCACTGTTCAGCAGTAGGCATGTCCAAGCTTCAGTGTCAAGGGAAACACATGGAGCTGGACCAGCTCACAATGGCACTCTCTTCGTAGTGGTGAAGCCTCAGGTTTTCAAGGCAAGCAAAAACAAAGCCAGACAAAACAGGAGACAGGGCAGAGCTGTAGCTCTTGAGGGGGTTGCTCAGGACAGCAAACATGCACAAATCCTGGTATGGGAGCTGCTCCCATTCTCAGGAAAAAAAGCTGCAGGTTCATAGGTGCATAGACAGACCCTGGGGAGGAATGGCACTGGGAACAGAAATAAAGAGGGCTGAAAAAAAGCCTGGAATGTCACAGGAAAAGAACACAAATCCAGGCTTGCCTTCACCTGAAGTCCCCAGGTAATAGGCACACTGAATAGACGTGCTTGAGGAGTTATCTGTGAAGCAGATCCGGTATTACCTCTGCCAAATTGTCTCTGCGCTGCCACTTTCAATTCACAATACTGAAAGTAAGGAACCCTTAGAGAAACACCTAGGGGTATGAGATCAATGAGATATACATAAAAGCATTTTAACCATGTCTCTGTGGTGAACCTGAACCACCTACCTTCACAAGAAATCCCATCAGCCATGATCGTATAACCAGATAAACAAGAGCATACAACATTTCCTTCCACAACATTGCAGATGTGCTTGCAGAGGCCATTATCTATACAAAGCAAAATTGCAAACCACATTAGTATTCACAACACACATCAGCTGAAGTTACAATCCTCCAGGTCATCCAAATATGACCTAGTTTAGGCAACGGGAAATTCAGTTTGCAAACAGTCTGTCCAGGCTGCTTTAATCACTACTTACAACCCTCCTACTCCACAGAACCACACCTGGGCCACTCCTCCCTGCACTGTTCTCACCACCTTGCACAGCTGCACTCTTCGCTTAAACTACATGGCAGGTGTGTAATAACCCTGGGATCAGAGTTGAGCCTCAAATTACTTCCTCAGGTTTCCCCAGACAATTCCTCAGCCTTATGCCAGAGGTAACAAATTTAAGGATGTGCATTGAAATTAGATTGGTGAAGGGATGTGTGGAATTTTATTCCAGCTCTCTGAACATTTCTCACTCATCTGTGTCTAAAGACTACACCTCCAACATACCTTTACACTTATCCTGCTCTTCTTGTAAGGACACGATCAGAATAGGCTGAGAAGGAGAGGCTGCTGGAGGGATGGTGGCTTCTGCTTCCAGCCTTGTCACCGGTCCTCTGTCAGGATCTGTAAGGCAATGGAGGTAGAGATGCATCAGGGACAACTTCATTTCCACCAGACACCCCATGGAAAGGGTCCCAGTCTCATTCGTCCCACTCCATCACGGTTTGTAGCAGGAACATCATGGCTACAGATCAGGGAGCTTGGCTGAAAAGAACTTCTGTAGAGTAAAATACCGCAACATCTAATGGACCAAACATAAAGCGTTAATTTTGTTTTTTAAAATGCTGCTACACTGTAAAGACAGTGGCTGTATTTCATTCAGTGTATGATGAAAACAAAGGTGAAACCAAAACAAGTCTTTACACTTTTTCTGTACATCCTATTTCAACACAGATGAAAAGCTGACGCTCACCTTTACAGCACAGGATACTCTGGAATGACTTTTACACAGCCAAATGGAAAACATGACAGCTGCTATCTATCATTAAGATTTTCAACAAACAGTAACGTTGAAGGTATCAGGATAGTTAGGGAAAAAAAACGCCAAAGCAAACAAAAAAAGCTCTGTTACATCAATAGGAGTAATCTGGTTTATCAGTATTATCAAAACCAAAGCCTAAATCCGTAAGCTAAATTCTTCCTTAAGAGGGATGTGTCTTGTTCCCATTGATTTGAGTTCAAAGTGTCACCTGGAGCAAAGTGTGAGCCAACAAACAATGACAACATTAAATGATGAGGTGCGACTGCAATACAGATTTTGAGCATGGGAAGAGCATTTTCACTTAAAAACAAAACCAAACACAAACAAACAAACAAACGAAGAAATCACAGACATACTGCAGGCTACAACACAGAGGCAAATACAAAGTGGCATAGTCTGAATGATCATAGAATCATTAAAGTTGGAAAAGACCTCTAAGATCATCAAGTCCAACCATCAACCCAACACTCCCATGACCACTAAACCATGTCCCAATGTGCCACATTTACATGTTTTTTTAAACCCTCCCAGGCGTGGTGACTCCACCCCATCCCTGGGCAGCCTGGGCCAATGTCTCACCACTCTGGCAGGAAAGAAATTCTTCCTCACATCCAATTAACACCTTGCCTGGCACAACTTCAGCCCATTGCCTCTTGTCTTATCTCTGGTTACTTGGGAGAAGAGACCAATCCCTACCTCACTCCAGCCTCCTTCTGGGGAGTTGTTGAGAGCAAGGTCTTCCCTCATCCAGACTAGACAATCACAGTTCCCCCAGCTGCTCCTCACAAGCCATGTTCCCCAGATCCCTCACCAGCTTCGTCGCCCTTCTCTGGACCCGCTCCAGCCCCTCAAGGTCTTTCTTATCCTTTGGCATCCAAAACTGAACCCAGCACTCAAGCTGTGGCCTCCCCAGGGCCGAGTCCAGGGGCATGATCCCTTCCCTACTCCTGCTGGACACAGTATTTGTGACCCAGGCCAGGATGCTGGTGACCTTCTTGGCCACCTGGGCACACTGCTGTCTCATGTTCAGTTGGCTGGCCACCAGCATTTCCCCAGAAAGACAGCAGAGAAGCAAGAAGAAGACTTGAAAGTTTCATCAATGTGTGCTTCCTAAGGAGGAAGCCTCACAGAGCCACTGCAAGAACATCATTTCCAGCATGGAAAAGTGGGGTGTTTTAAAAAACAAAAGTTAAATACAAAACCACTTAGAGTCCAGCAAAGAGGATGAAATGTACAAGGACAGGTACAAATACAAAAGGGTTCTATCTAGTCACAAGAGTAAAAACTGCCAACAGTATGAGATGTGAAACTGTCTGGTGTGGTCTGTGGTCTCCATGCACAGACCCCATGACCAAGATGTGCACATATACATAAAGCAAAAATGAGAAAAAAAAGGCCACTGTGCCATGGTGCTCAGTAGAGCGCATATGGTTCGGCCAAGTGCAGCAAGTGAGGTGCCCTGCATCTCCTGCACCCAGCTTTTCATTTGACCCAGCACTCCAGAGCGTGACCTCTCCTTGCCTCACTCTTCCAATGTGTCTCAGATGTCTCACTCACTGTCCCCTAGTTTTGTCACAACCCTATACCTCAGCTGAGCTCTGTAAACCCCTCTAACACTTCTTGGAACCACCATAAGCATTCTTGCAGGTCTGCCAAGGATACCAACTACAAGGTGTATTAACCCAGATCTGCACTTCAAGGGAGTTAGCAGTGGGAGAGGCAAAGCAAGGCAAAACAAAACCACACACTTGCTCCAGGTGAACGATCAAGCCAAATTTTGCAGTGCTAAAATAAGAACATTTTCTTGGCCTTTTTTGGATTAAGTTCCTTCCCCAGAATTTTAACATAAACAACAGAGCAGACAGCTGCCGCTGAAACGCTGTCAAACACATTACTGATGTAAGCAATGTAACACCATGTTGAGAAGAATGACATAATGAATGCTCATTGTTTGGCTTGGGCAGAAAGTATTTGAAGTCTAAGGAATTTTGTCATTGGATGGCAACATGTCTTTTGCTTGTTAAATAACTGAAAGCTCTTGTAACTAATATAAGGTTTCAACTTTTCAGGTTATCTGATTTGAAATCTTGCCACTGGAGAACTCCAGACATCAAAACAATTACTACACAATACACTTTCTTTTCGGGACTTCCACCACACTAGATATATTTAGATTGTGTATCACTGAAAGATGTTAATGGTTTTAGATAAAAATCAAAGTTCAGGAAGCAATACTGTCTGTCTGAACTGAGTGAAGTTTATCTAAAAGAAAGCTAACTGTGAAATACAAATAGATTGTATGAAGAAAAGGTATTTCATTAACAATCTTTACAAACTAGCTTCTGAAAAGTGACAACAGTCTTAATTTGAACATATTAAATAACATCCTGACCTCATGCCATCGATACACAAAAAAAAAAGGCACAATTACATTTCCTAAATGGTTGATTTTCTCTACATTATTAACCTGCCTAATTTCTAAGGAAAATGTCCATGCATCAACACCTATAAAACAACTCACAGAAACTACAGAGAAATTAAAGGTTGGTAGATCAATGCAGGCAGCACAGACACCATCGTTTCTGGAGTTCCCTGTTCATTTTCTCACCTGGAGAGCAGCTGGTCCCATCATCTTGCAAAGTGAACTCTGGAAAACACGAACACTTGTAGGACCCCACGGTGTTTATACACAAATGCTGACAGAGTTCCCCTCCATAGATAAGACATTCATCCAGGTCATCTCCCGGCAGGTTATTTGACAGTTCAGCTTCATTACCAATGGACAAAGCTTCATTGTGATCTTCTGTCTCTGAAACTACAACAGAACACCACTTGCTGTTTTTCTAACAGGTGTCAGAATTAGGACAGTACAGTATGGAATGTTAGATCACACAAACTCCAGATACAGTTAAATCTACCCAAAACAGTTACTCCAAGGACAAGAGCAAATGAACCCATTCCAAAAATTGTACTTATATGAAGACCATTGTGCCGAAGGTCTATCACCTCTACCTGTAAGGCTAGAGGGACAGACATTTTACAAGGGCCACTGAGAAATAGGGTGATCCTAGGAGGTCACGAGCTCGCCTTTCACACTGACTACTAACACCACTTCTATTATAACGTGAACCAAGTTATCACACCGAAGCCCCATCTGAAATTTGCCATACTGAATAACCAGACTGAATTTCTGATTTCAGGAGAAAAGAGTTTCTCAGTTGGTTTGGCAAGTCTTTTCAACACCACTACGAAATTATTGGCTGCTTCCAAAGCCACCAGTGCAAACAGTCTGGGACCTGCTTAACCATGACATTGCCGTTCTACCTCCTGCTTTTAAACACTGCAAAAGCACTGCCCCTTTCCTTTCCTGACCAAGTTTGACAAGACTTCCTGCGATACTAGAATTAATTGTTCAGCCAGTTTCTCACTCAGCTTTTCTTGAACACAAACTTCCTTGCCCAGTAAGGTCCCAGCTAGGTTGAAATAAACCCTTACATCTGTTGGCAAGAGAAAATACACATTTAGCTCATGAGAAGAGAATGGACAGAAATTGAACCCGAGCATATGCAGGAGGTTACCATACAACTCCGGCATGACAGGTGGCTAGAGAGTGATGCTGGAAGGAGCACAACCTTGGGCTGCGCGAGGAAGCAAGGCTGTCCAAGCTCCAAGTTTGTCATGCTCCCTCTGTCACGCCTCTTTGGCTGCAGGGATTTGGCTTGGCTCTTCAGCATCACTATGTTCGTACACTGAAAGAGTGAAAACAAACTTGCAGTGCTCTGGGGCTTCTCCAGAGCGTACTGTGGGAAAGCTGCTGTGATGTTCAGCAGTTCAATAAGAAATCTATTCCCAGGATGTTTCACTGGTATTACAATCCATGGGACAACTTAGTGTGGAAAAAAAAAAAATAATAATTTGCTTTATGCAGAATCTTTCAGGATTGCTCCTACAAAGAGACATTGACCAGTTTCAACTTTGCTTCTTACCGAGGGCAAGTGGCAGGTCTCTGTACTATGTGACTCCAGGGGGAAAAACCAAACAAACTACTAAAGAAGGTATGTTTTAAGGATCAGAAACGCTATGTATTTTTTTTTTCCTTTCTCAAAGCTGTTCTAAGAACAAGGAAGCCTATATTTGATCTGAGAGGGAAGGCAACTCTTGCTCCTTCCAGCACCTTCCTGTATGACCACGTGAGATAGAGAACTTATCTGTAGTGTCTTCAGATCATAAACGGACACTTACCCTTCTCAGGTGTCACTGTTGGCAAAGGTTCAGGATGTCTCCTTATTTCTGGATGGATGAAGTGATCTCCCCCTTCACAGCAGGACAGCATCACGTGACTGCAGGGGTAGCCCAGGTTTATGTTGGACTCGCAGGTTTTCCCCTCGCTCCTCAATCGCAGGCCCAGATTACAGCAGTCACAGCATTGCTGCAACAGAAGGGGACTATCAGCAACAAGGACCTTATACAGTCCACTTCAGGGATGAGCCCACACACGTGTACATGTGGAGCTGATCTGCACTTGCCTTAACAGCAGAGCACCTGGAAAAGCACTTAGAGTTTAGACAGTTGCAAACATCAAAGCTTCACTTGTGCTTGTTTTTTACATCCTTCACAGTCAGCTGCAACCAGGCTAAAGACAAAGTCTCACCGTGACAATGATTTCAGCAACTTCACTTTGTGTATAGTGTATTCTAAACAAAATAATACACATCTGTACCTCTGTCCATTAGATATTGAAAAAATGTTGACTTGTTTGAAGCAATGTGAAAGGAATTGTAAATACCTTGCATGGACACAAGGATCAGCAGCAGCATCTGAGCTCTGTCAGTGTGTCAGCAAAGACTCTTTCCTCTCTGCACCACTGCCCCAAAAACCTACTATGACCTTTAATTACCAGGCTGCCCTGGACAGCATCCCGCTGAGACAGTGGGTAGAGAAAGTCCAGGATATATTCTATGAGCTCTTTGCCTTACATTTCTTTCCTGAGTTCCTCTATGGAGCAGCTTCACTGACAGTTTGATGCAATGGGGTATCCCTGAAATGTAGTGTCTCTCAGTTTCCTCTGCTGTTGGTGGCAGACAAAATCTATGTTGTGTTTTACTCAGTCAAATCCAAATCCACAGTCAGGCCACAAAAATACATCTGATAAATTATATCAAATTCAAAAAGTCCATAGTGTTTATGCATAGTGTATATGTAATCACGCAAGGAGGCTGAGGAGTTGTAAGTTTCTGCTACAGAGGCATATAGGGGCCATATATGAATTGAAGATGCCTGTCTGGATTAAAATATAAGTGTAAACATATATACACTTCGATGCTTTTACTGACAGAACAGCTGTAAAATGCAAAGTCTCCTTCCCTCTGCAACTCCTTTAGCAGTCAGAACCTCGCAGCATGCATTTACAGCTTGCAGCTACACTGAAACAGCCTCTTTGAACCAGGAGAAGTAATTTCAGCCTATTCAAATATTCAGTCTATGAAAAGGCATCAGACATAAAATGAAGGTTGTAATTCACACTGGCACCAGTTAGCTATGTCAACACAAAGTCCAAGGACGGAACAGAAGAAAACTGAACTAAACTCCCACTTCCCAGGAGAGAGATCTCTGACCTGAGGAAAGCAAATAAGAGAAGCAGTGTTCTAAGGGCTGGATGCAGCTGGGAAATGGAAAGGAGTCACATTTAATGATTAGCAATCCTATATGAACACTCACCTTAAACCAGAGTCTGTCTCCACAATGGAGATAGGGAAACTTGTCCACTAACAGCTCAGTCTCCAGAAACTCTTCTGCTATGCCACTCTTTTCAAGATTCAAACACTGTAGCTTTAGGGTTTCTTGAGCATTTCACACTCAATATGTATCCCTTGCATGTTCAGCCCAGTACTTATGACTCCAGCTCATGTTTTGTGCCCCTGCTTTCTAATCAGAAAAATCCCCAGTCATCATAAACAGTAGATGTTATTCACATTTGCAAATATGCACAGCCATAAAGAGCTGTCTTTGCGTGCCCAAATACATGTTTGTGAAAAATTCACAGTACAGATCCTGAAGATGCTGAATTATTTCTGACTGTAAACAGGCTAAATCATCTTTTCAAAAGAAATACTTTAAAAAAAAAATCTAACTATAATGGATTGCGGTCATGCTAGAAAAGAGAGAAATCCCCATTTCATCATCCCAAAATTCAAAATTTTATTAGAAGAATTGAAAATTCTTTCCGTAAATATTTTTAGGTTTGCTATCACGTTTTCAGTGTCAATATTCAAAATAAAAGAAGTTAAAGATTATACTTTTTTTTACTGGAGTATTGTAAAATATTGGAATATTTGCCTTGAAGAATATGCCTTTCTTCAGTCATAGTTTGATTCACAATTTATCCCATGTGCAAGCATCACAGAGTATTGTCAGTCATGCGCTTTCGGGTTCACATATTTTTCAGATGAATGTAAGTGTCTCATTTTCCAGTGGAAAAACTTTTTCACTGAAAAAGTTGTAGAAGGAACTTCCTTCTAAAATGCAAAAACTGAATGTCTTGATCTTCTGCTAGCTACCTCTTAAACTTCACCAGAATTGTGCAATTGATTTAATAACAAGTACAACTATTTTTACATTGCAATTGGGAAACATGCCTTGAGAAGCACTGTTTGATTCACAACTTTCTATGTTGCTCTCAAAAATATCTTGCCCAAAATCCAGCATAGTTGGATTTACCATAGTGGTGTCTCCACCCACTAGGAAAAAGTCCCTAAGCATGTGCTTTTTAAAGTACAATAGATAAAAATTAAAAGCAGCCTAAGATTAAATGGTATCAAACACAAGCTGGATACCTGGATGTAAAGAGCTGGCACTGCTGCATTCAACCTGAAGCAAAAGTAAGGCCCCCACATCTAAGCTGCCTGGAGAAGACCTACACGTTTATTACCTGGAAGTAAAAACCCTGGCTTTTGGCAGCACAGCATCAGTGTCTTGCAATGTCTTTGGGACAATGAGCTTGTCTCTCCACATTCCAGACAAGCTTCTTTGATTTATGACACCCAGCCAGAGCAGTCGCCAGGAGTGGAGCAGACCAGGGGAAACTGCTCTACATGGGCAGCGCTGCCTTCACGGAGCTATCCCAGAAGAGTATTCTGCAACTTGTTTCAGTTCAGGCAGGCATGATGAAGTTGTCCCTCCCCACTTTTTTCTGAGGCGTGGCATGCGTGATAAGACCTATTCTACAGCTTGTGCTCCATCTGGCATGCAAAAGACCCACAGTGAAAACCTAAGAAGAATAATTCTGTCATACTTCAGAAATATTAATGTCTTCTCTCAAATGCTGAAATTCTATTTTTACTATAATGGTATATAACCAGACCCACACAAATAATAGCTCTGAAAATGGCACATTGGCATACCTAATTAAACTTTCAACTCTGCAGTAGATGTCCACATGTTTTGCTTTTCCAGTGGAACAATTATCCACAAGAATCACTGGCGTTTACAAACTGACAGAGTTAATCGGTTTACTGCTGAGGCAACGGAAGCCATGCTTAAGCTTAGATATAGCTATGTAATTTATTATCAGAGTGAAATGAATTCTGAAATGCACCCTCCCGGTAAGAACAAGACAAGTGCCTGAGCAAGATGCTGAATCTTCAAACTGGTTCAAATTAGTTTGGCTCCACTGATTCTCATAATGCAAATCTCATTTATATAAGCTGAGGCTGTGCTCATGATTTGTGATCTGAACCAATTCGTTAATGGTCTGCCTTTATTTATGAGCAAATGCTTCCATCATCACCTAAAATACTTGTTCCTCTAGTCCATCATTTTGTTTAACTGAAAAATGAGGCTGCAGTTCAACACACTAGCCGAGCAAACAGTTCAGTAATGGGTTTCGCATTATATCTTTGATTAAGTTTTGCCCTGTCATTTTATAAGTCCTTCTGCACCACAGATATTAAAACTAAAATGGTCTTTTCAGCTACTTCCAAAGTGAAGAAGCAAAAGTGATACAGCAAGTTATACCTTCAAAATGGAGATGGAAATAATTCAAAACAACATTATTGTGAAGTTTTAAAAGGGGCTGCATCACCAGGCAACTGAAACCCAGACACAAACAGCACTGTTTCTCTGCCTCATTCCTGCAACTTCATCATTCTCTGTGCTCCACAATAACATATGAGGAAATTATTGTTAAATGCAGTAAACAAGGACACATTTCCAGAAGAAAACCTATAGGAGCATCAGACCACCTCACCTTATAGGGTGAGCCTCCGCAGGGATTGCTTTCCTCTGGCCCGCACACGTCTCCTTCCTTCGCAGCAATCATGCCAGCCAGGCAGCTGTTCTCCTTCACGGTGGAGACACAGCACTGCTTCTGAGCAATCCTGCAAAGGATCACCAAGGGCAAGCGGTCACTGACATTGAGAAGACAGCAGGATGGGACGCAAAAAACCCCAGCCCTACTGGATTCACAATACATCCCATAGATTCGGTCTCTCTTTGACATGTATATGCCAATACCAGTATAATATACATGGTACCACTGACCCTTGCAGGGTCTAGTTTTTCCCTTATTTTTAATAAAAAGATGCATTTACAAACACTCACAAAGTCTTTCGTTTAGGTCACTGGATCTCAAACCCTGGCCACCAATATCCCCTACAGCTCATCTGTATTTGTGCAACAGTCCCTCTTCCCCACATTTTGCTTCTCAGAAGTTTTCAGAAACAGCAAACAAATGGAAAACCTCATCCCTGCATGGTGGGGAACAGGCAACACATCTGTACGTGCTTACTTCTACACCAATCAGAGGACTGAAGCTCCGGACAGGAGTTAAGGAAAGTGTCACATCACAAAATCTCTCTAAACTCTCCTTTATAGCCCCACAGATTGTAACTCAGAATTTAAACTTTCCTCTAACTTCTGTTATCAAAGAGAAGTTCATGGGTGACTCGATCACTGTATATGAAGTACTACAGGAACACACACTTTCTGTATGTGGCTCTTAAAATCAATCATTTTAACAAGATTCTCTGAAGGTTGAAAGGAAACAGGTTAAAAATCTAAATGGCAAATTCCTCAATGAAATTTAATAGAAGTTCATTGAAGTAACCAAATAATATTTCTTACTATTTCAAATTCTGTAGTGGATTTTTTACATACACCCCCCTCACAATTCAAAGAGATATGTGCTTCTTTCATTCATATACCAAAAGGCAGCCAGAACCCCATGACCCTGTCTCTCAGTCCAAGAAGTACAGAGACTGGCAGCACGCAGGAGGGGTGCACGCCTGGTCCTGGGATGGGGAAGGGCCCCTGTGATGGGGAATGGCGAGGACCACGAGCTGCAGGCCACAAGAATTCTCCTGAAGGGTTTACGCTGAGTATGTGACCTGTGGATAGGGCATACGTGACACAGATGAATGTTAGGAGTCTGCTGAAGTAATATAGTCTGAGTAAGGGTGAATTTCTGTGCTGGACAGATGTGGTGGTATGAAGGAATTAAGCAAAGTTTTTCCTTTTCCAAGAATACCCCTGATGTCTCAGTCCTGCTGATGTATTGTCGCAGAGCACACTGCCTTATGGGCAGTGATTAACGGGAGGTTGATGCATTTTAGCAGCCACTGCCTCATAGCAAAGCAATTCTCCTGCAACAGAAATATTTGCAAAGAAACCATTTTATCAGTCAGATATCATCATTCCTGCAACAACATATGGTTGTCCTAGGAAACAAAACGTTTTCTTTTCTGAGAAGAAGGTATTTCCAATTCACAGCTTTTATCCTAATGCTTCAATTAAGAAAAGAAGACAAAAAAAAGAAAGGGATGTCTCATTCCAGTAGAAACCAGCCAGTGATAGCCACTGTCAGCTTTATAATAATATCTATCTTCATGCTGGATAGCATAAGAGAGCTGTAACCAGGAAGCAGTGGCTTGAGTTTGATTACAAGAAGGGGATTACCACCTCCATGTGCTTTGTTTTCAAGGAAGTTTTCTAATGCAGTTTTAATTGCCAACTAGAGAAATACATTTTTTTTAGCAATGAATGGTTATTACCCAAATATATTCAAGTACCAGTAATTCAAGTATTATTTTTGTTATCCAAACTTCCATTAAAAAAAACCTTTAAAAAACGAATTGAAAGTTTTTATCATTTATAGAAATGACAAAATGCTACTAGAAGCATTTTTATGTGAAAAGCATTTACTGTATTAAAACATCACAATCTCTGTAGATCCATGTTCTTCTGAAATGTGACATTTAGCCATGAGAAATTCCTCTTATGTATACAACAGAGTAGAAACAGGGTTGTCTGGAGCACTGGAGTATCACTGTCCAGTTTTTATTTTAGTATTTCTTTAACAATCAGCACAGCTCAGTTTCAGCTAGTCTATTACCAGGAAATGAATTGGGAACCAACAGTGTTAACCACGTTCTCCTGTTTCTTCCTCACAAACCGACTCTTCATAAACCAGATAAATGAGGTTTTGGTTCAAAGAAGATTCAGAACACTTCTGCTTTAGGGGAAGAGTTAATGAGTTAAGATCAGTGAAATGATGTGAGTCTCTAACTGGGACAGAGTGTCAGCAAAAAGCAGGATTCATACTCGCACAGCTGATATAAATGGCAGCCAGATAAACACTGCTCTGTGATGATAAAACATCAATTATGAGATAAAAACTACTGTACGGGATCAGATGTGATTTAATCCACCCTAATGTCCTACTTCTGAAACAGACAGTGGTACAAGCTCTGGGAATAGTTTCACACCTGGCTACCAATTGACTATCTAAGGATTTCCTGTAACTTGCTTTAAGTTCCTGTACCTAGTTACTACACACGATCTCTTTGAGGGACTCCCTGTTCATTCCCTGCAGTTAGTGTTGTTGCTCACCACACAGAGGCCAAGCTGGTACATGAATATCCAGAGACATCAAGATACATCAACAAGTAGCTTTAACATTTAAATTTTTGCCACTTGAAAACCCCAAAATGGCATTTGGAAGCGAGAGATGCCTCAATCTGCAACCTTCATATAAACAACCTACAGCCTCAACAGAGGAGGCTTCACTCATTTCCAATAAATAAATAAATAAATAAGTCCCTCAGTGCAGTGATGGTCTAAGTTGTAAAACCCGAGTATTTATAGAAGACTATCCTGGCAGAACAGTAACTAATTTTTACAATTAGTATCTATCGTCTACCTTTTAGAATATTAAGATAGAGTCAAATTAGTGGCAGACTCCAGAGAGCTTGCATCACTTGCACGCATTCTTACACACAAAATGGTGCACCGGAAGTCTGGACACATGCATGGTGACCAGCTCTTCATGCTGGCGCATGCTCAATGGGAGCAGCAAGGTTCTGCTTACGCTTTCAAGATTATGAGGCTTCAAATTTCAATATTTTTTTTTACACAAAATGTTTTCTTCACACAGAATATTTACAGGTGGTTTTAAATCTTTAACACAAGAGACCCTACCGAAATTTTGAAAGTAGAACAACGAAACTCCTGATCTCTTATTCTTTTAAACCTCAATAGATTCCCAGGGACCAAAACATTTAGGATCTGTTTCTTTCATCTAAACCCAGCCTCAGATGTGCAGGTGCAACCCATTAATGTATTGGATTTGCACCTACTTAGGCCAAAGCTGGAATTTTTTAATCGGTCTTTACTTCATAGACAGCTGGTATGCATCACTTAGATCGTGCCAGATCCCAGCGGGTGGCAGATTTTAATCTCTCAGGAACCTCAGAAAGGTGCAGTGATAACAACTTTAATAAAACTGATCACGCCAAAGTTTTTAATCCTGGGATCACTGTTAGAGAAATCCATCTGGCTTATATTGCACTGCATGAGTCTCTGGTCACTCTGGCTTCATTCCTCCCTAAGGCCCATTTCAGACCAGGGGGAAGGAGAGAGAAAAGGGACGAACTGCAGCGAGAGTAATTTGTTGTCCGCGTTACTCCGCACCCATTCTTCTTTACTTGCTGCACAGTTTGAACCTGGCATCCTCACTCAGACCAGATGCTACTGATACCAGCAGCGCTACCAAGGCATATGGTCCTCCCTCCAGCTGAACACTAACAGCAGAACCAGCAGCCATTCACACTGGACAATAAACACATCATTTAATGATATGGATAGTCACTGCACTTAGCACTTGCCAAACGGAAGACACGTTCTGCCCTTCCATTTATCTGTGACTCCACAGATGCGCACAGAACTGGGAAACAAAAATTTGTGTTCTGCTCATGTGAGAGAGGAAAAGAAACCTTAAAAGGCTTTTGTTCAGATTAGATTTGGGGGAAACAGAGGAGGAAATCCTTCTTTCTAATTTGCCGTGATATATTGCCAGTCTACCAATAATTTATGTAATGCATGAAACAGTTCCCAGTCTCCTGGACATCCCATGAATTATACAATCACTTCATTTGTTCTAAAGGGCTGCTCTCTGTGTTCATCTTAACCACTCAGTTTTGCCTTACCTGCAAATATCACCATCCGTTCCACTTACAGGGATTTCTGTGCACTCCCCGTTGTCTATAGCCCACTGTTGTCCAGCTCCACAGCAGCTCTCAATCAATTCCTTTGTGGAACCTGTATAAAACATACACCCAGAATATTTCTGTATGGAACGGACTGTTTTCAGTTCTGTTTTCTTCACTGAGATCTTTAAAATAACAATAGTCCAGCTTTTTCTTTCTTCTTTTTTATTTTTTCCTTTACACATTTCATTTGGTTACATGCAAAGAAAGAAAGAAGCAACTTATACCTGCAGCATCTTGACATAACCATCTGGAGTGGTCTTTCAGGATGGAACAGCATAAAAAAATTAGAGTTTTAAATACAATAAAAGACAAAAGTAGTTTGAAGACAACTTCACCTTTGACATCTCTGAACAAAAAAAACCCTGAAAAATCATGCTTGACCACGTAATGCAAATTGATTTAATAAGTCATTATGGTGTTCTAACAGAACCTTCACTACCACTAGCTGGGCTAGCATGAAGGTGTCCAAGTAAAGTTCAGAACAAATGAGAGACAGTACACAGCGTGTACACAAGCTTGGCACATGGCACACACAAGCCTCAGCAGTTCTCTTCTACCAAATTGTGAATACGAAGTTTCACTGATGAGTAACAACAAACTGAAACACATTCCTTTTCACACTTCCTTAAAGTTTTTAGTTTAGCAAGGGTGGTTTCAGCAGCTTTGATAGATGTAGCATTCAGAAATTGTTTCCATAAGACAGATGAAGAAATTTCACTCCTCAGCTTAGACTACCTCTACCTACAGTGCCCTACAGACAAACTGGAGGGTTCAGCTGGATTAAAACCATAATAAAGAGTTTGAGAGACATAACTCTGAGACTGCTGATGAGCTTATGCAAAACAGTGGCACTAAGATGTAGTAAAAGACATGGATGTGTAGAATGCTGCATTAGTTTTCACATCTTTCCTTGTGGATATCCACTTACGATGTAAATTTTCAGGGTACACTGAAATACAACTTAAACAAGTGGATTTGCAATATACTACATACCTACTGTACAGGACAGATCCAGCCCACATCAGGCTGGGCAGAAATGGTATTGTTTTGAGCCTGTACAGAGGTTTACCTCATGATGGGACATTTGCCATCGCTGCTGGGGTGCAAACACCAAACAAACACTAACATACGCCAGCTAAACTGATGTTGGAGTGGAAGGAATCTGCTCCCTGGCAGCACTGCGCTGCATCACCAGGCAGATTTCTCCTGCAACTCCTCACACAGTGGATGGGCTCCATCACACACAGCACATGGGCTCCCCCGACCAGCTTGGGGATCCGCAGCAGAAGATGCCTGCTTTGGGAAGAGCTACACAGATATCAGGTAAGAAAATGATGAAAAGATGCCATTTAGAGAGACACGAGGTATCATTACATAAGGGCTAACAGTAATAGGATGAGGGGTAATGGCTTCAAACTGGAAGAGGGGAGATTTAAGTGAGAAATTAGGAAGTTCTTCACTAGAAGGGTGAGGGGACACTGGCACAGGTTACCCAGAGAAGCTGTGGATGCTCCACCACTGGATATCTTCAAGACCAGGTTGGATGGGGCTTTGACCAACCTGCTCTAGTGGGAGGTGTCTCTTCTCATGGCAGGGGGGGTGGAACTAGGTGATCTTTAAGGTTCCCTCCAACCCAAACCATTTCATGATTCTGTGATACTCAGATTACAAATGCTCAGAGGCTATGATTTCACAGTATAGATACACAGGTCAGTACACTTAATAAAGGTGGCATATCAGACCACAGGGCTCCACAAAGAATCAATGGCCCTGTGAAGATCATAGAATCAGAGAATCATTTTGGTTGGAAAAGACTTTTAAGATCATCAAGTCCAGCTCTAAGATGGGCTGGAGATACCTTTGATGAGGTTGAGCAGCACCTGCTCTCTCCTCTGACTCTTAAGTGTTCCAGTTCCTTTGAAAGCCACTCATATGGCTATAAGGAACATTTTGTGTTTTTTACTCATACTTTTAGGCCAGTCTCTGGTGTGGTTTGGTGTTACCATTAAGAGAAAATAAATTAAAATGACCCCAAAGTTGAATGGTAGGAGATGTGCAGATACAATAGACCTTGGGTAGATCCACATCTGAGCACTCCACATGGGCAGCGCTCTCCAGCCAACACCTGGAGTTGTTTAACCTGGAGAGCCTGGAGGCTCAAGGGAAACCTTCTCACTCTCAACAGCTCCCTGAAAGGAGTCTGGAACCAGGTGAGAGTCGGTCTGCTCTCCCAAAGAACAAGTGATAGGACAAGAGGAAACAGCCTCAGGTTGCACAAGGGGAGATTTAGGTTGGACATAGGGAAAAATTTCTTCCCTGGAAAGGTTGTCAAGGCCTAGAATAAGCTGCCCAGGGCAGTGGTGGAGTCCCTATCCCTGGAAGGATTTAAAAGCTAGGTGGATGTGGTGCTGAGGCACATGGGTTAGTGGCGATCTAGCATTGCTGGGGGAACGTTTGGACTTGATGATCTTAGAGGTCTCTTCCAACCAAAACAATTCTATGACTTTATGACTCTGCAATCATCCCACCTGAACTGAGGACTCTCTCCTCCTGCATGTTAGCTGCAGTGTTAGATGGCACCTTCGCCAACAGGCCAGATTCAATAAAAAATGATTCTTTCTTTTGTCTTCATTTGCTACATAGTATCAAGTCAAATAACTTTTCTTTGCAAAATTGTGACACTTAACTATAAGTGAAACATTTTTAGAAATGCCTACAATTCAAAACACCTGGGTATCCATGCTGCTGTCTGTACTGTTTCAGAAGAAACAAGGTAGCCCACCTTACCAGCACTTTTCTGATATCACATATTTACAGCAGTTATTCTGTGTTTCAAATAATAGTAGAAGAACTTTATATAGTGTCTTGTAGAGCTATACAGTCACTAGATATCAAGGATAAGAAGTTTCAGTGAAGTGTAATGCTATCTTCAGTGTTACAAAATATTGGCACTTACACAAACAATACAAACCTCCTCAGCAGACTACTTCTTTATATTTGTTACAGTTAATTTAGAAGATAATATTACATTTTGGGAACTGGAAAGTTCTCCTTACCAGCATAGCTTGCTTTATAAAAAGCAACTAGAAATATTAAATGGCACACAAAATATAGAGCTTGTGATCATGAAATATCTGCTCATGAGACAACTTTAAGAAATTCTATGCTACAAGAAGGAAAAAGAGAGGGAACAAGAAACAATACATGCCCCACTACTGACCACAATCCACAGGAGAAAAATTACCAAATTCCATTTCCTTCCATGTTCTTCAATCCTCGATGGGGTTCATTTCACACGCTACAACAGTGCCTTAGCAGACCTGGGTTTGATTTGGCTGAGCAGTGCTGACCACTCCAGTAGCCAGATGAAACACAGTTTGGGGGGCAGCTTTGCAATACGTAAAGCCATGTTACCAAGGTCTGGTAGGACTGTCCCTGTACCTTCCGCAGAGGTGAGGGAACATTACACATCTGCAAACCACACCTCTTGTTGAACATATTTAACTTTTTGATTACATTTTTCACTGAAAAGAGAAAGTAGTCCGTGGAAAAATATCTTCTTCATCCCTAACTCAGAAGGATGGGTGATGGGAGGAGATGACAGCAAGTAGCAAGACACAGGTCCCCACAGCTGTGGCCACGTGTGCCCAAACCAGCAGCAACCTCATGGTCTGGAGCATCAAACCCTGCACCACCCAAATGCTGTGCCACCCCAGCCCGTACACATTTTTTGTTAGTCTGTCAATCAACAGTAACTCCAGAAATGTAGTAACAGTCTTGACAGTCAACACTAGGAGGGAGAACAGGAATTCCAGGAAAAAAAACATCCTTTTTGTGCCCACAAACTCCAATTGTGTGATTCTATTAAGTTACAAAGAGAAGGAGAGAGGAAAGCCACAGAAAAATCACGTGCACAACAAGGACTGCAGAGAAGATGGTGGCATAGAGAGCTTCATCTTTACCTCAAGTCCTTATTTATAGTGGGGGGAGGGAGGAAGCAGTAGGAGGGGAAAAAAAGTACATTTCACACTTTTATTTTCTTCAAGGCTTCAGGGAGAGACAACCCAAACCAGACTTGAAGCCATCACACCCTCACCCTAGAGCGGTTTTGATGGCCCAGGCCTTTTCTCTCCTCCTATATTGCCACATTCATGCTCACACACAAAGGCACGCAGCACCACAAAAAGCTGCAACTGGACTTCAGTCCACAAAGTGCTTTCATTTTTTGCAGCAAATTAACACTTAAAAATACAGCTTAGTCTTGAGAGCTGTAAGTCGCTACATGACATGAGAGGGATGATATAGGCAGCTAAACTAGGCAAGAAATACACCTAGTACCAGGTAATTACAAAACATCGCTATAAAACAGTGTTTCAACACAGTTTTAATTCAATCCCTTGGTGGAAACTCCATTCATCTTGTCAACTGCTGCAACATTTGTTGCTACAGTATTGCTAGGTTTAAAACACAAGGATGCAGCAAAATTTACTCAACTATATTGCAGTTATCTACATGATTTATAATTCAAATAAAAAAGAATTACTCATTCCTCACTAAAGATTCAATATCAGATTGCTGTACTGAAGAGCCATACTATTAAGCAGTCATATTTAGAAAATATATTGCCTTTTGTCATGATCTTACCAATAATTAAATCTAGAATGCAGTTATAATAAAATGAACAAACTATTGCATTTTATCTCAATCAGGAATTAGAAAAACTGAATAATTCACAACAGGACTCAGTTATTAGCATGGATTTATGATAATTTGATGAAACAATAGCAAGAATAAATATAAACAACCAGACACACGCACAAGACTGAAGATCGCAGCTTCTACGCTGCATGGAGACTTTAAGCTATAACAGACTTTGAAATGCTTAAATATTCAAAGAGAGCTTTGTTTATTTGAGGCTTTCATGATATTAGCAGATTTAGAAGAAGGTTTGCACCTGCTCACAAAAAAAAAAAAGTCATTTTGTTTGAGAACACCATAATCCTGAATATTTATTATACTATGTACATCTTTGATACTTCATAGAGTCAT